ATGTCAGTTGACAGTTTCATGGTTAGCTCGGTGAGGTTAAGGGTGTACGGGTAAAAGGTAATTAATCATGGCTGATTATAGGATAAGATGTACGGGGTAGAAACTATGATTTAACTGCTAAAATGCACGTGATGGTGCAGAGATGGTTTTTGGACTTTGTTAATTCAACAAACACAGCATGTACGGTGTACGATTATCTTACACGACATTCATTCAACTTTGTGCAGCGATTGGCTTTCTAGTGATGGTAATGGGAAAATTGGCCTATAATAAATTCGGTAAGTTATTATTGTTAAGGCGTTTATAAGCACTGTATATAGGCCTACCTGTACATGTTAAGATTTGGCGATCTTAAAATCACGCAAGATTCAAGTTTGCACATCGCCATCACTGTATAGGTATTTGTTGTTATTAATTTTAGGGTAAGGGTAAGGGTATTTTGTAATAAAAATCAGAAATCTTGAAAAAACACATTAAAATCAAATGTATTTGAACACACGAGAGCGTTGAAAAGGTTATATAGAGAAGGTTTCATTATTTAATCCCTGGTAGCACACGTTGAGAATGTTAAAAAGGTTTACTTTTAATGTAGTATGATCAGTACAAATATTATAAAATATCTTGACATTCGCTCAGTGTTTCATTAAATTTGATGTTGAGTAGGATAGCTACATATTAATGAAATAGTGTGTGTTTGTGTGGGTGTGCGTGAGAGAGAGAGAGAGAGAGAGATTCTGAGTGTGTGTGTGTGTGTGTAAGAGAAATAGAGAGAAAGATAGAGAGGAGTCCTTGAAATCCTTAAGTCGTTTTTTAAGTATTTTTCTGTTTCATGTTACAGGCACCATATCAACTACACTTTATTGAATTTAAAAGGGTATTTAAGGGGAAAAAAAAGATTTTACAAGTCTTGTTTATCTAACCCTTCCACTTTTATAACTTCCCACATTCAACGGCGTTAAAACATTTTCAGATGCATCAACAGACAGGCTGTCACTGCAAAAATACAAAAAGGTGGGAACTGAATTCATTTTGATACAGTGGCCAAGCATACTTTTTATGAAAATGGCTTACGTTAAATTGTATAAATATTAATTTTTACTCTTATATGGTATAAAAATCTGATTTTTACCCCTAGGAAGTCCCAAAGTAATTAGACATGTAAATACATAATATATAATGTCTTAAGTTCTGACCTCTTCCGAGCACAGACAGTACATTTATTCCAACAGCCATTAGAATAAGATCATTTGCTGCTTTTATTTTACAGTCACTTATTAAACGTCTTAACCCAATTGCCGACGAATGGATAAAGCAGATGGCATTCAGAAGGCAACGAACAAAGTGGGCGTGTCAGAAATATGGTCAAGGGGCAAGGTCACGCGACAACCCGCCACCTATGAACGAGTTACGGTACCTCTGGGTTAGCGACGACTTGAAAATGATCTATTGCGAAAGACCGAAAGCGGCGAGCTCAAACTGGAAAAAGAGTATTCTAGCAGCCCTTGGTGTGAAGCTTGTAAAATCAAAATCGGCATCAATCCGCTTACATAGCGTAGAATTTCCTAAACATCTGCGGCTTCTGAGTACGTACTCCAAAAAGGAGATTAACCATCGACTGAAAACTTATTTCAAATTCTTCGTCGCTCGGCATCCTGCGGAACAACTGGTATCTGCGTACAGGAGTAAAATTGAGTACTGGTCTCCCAATAAACCACGGGCACTGTCACTAGTCGGAAATTACGTGAGAGAGCACTATAAACACCTGCCACCAATTTACCCGACCGATGTTCCCGGCGACGACGGAGAGCTCTATAAATATTTGAAAAAGAAAACGGCGACGGGGAATGACTTATGGAAAAGGGGACACAGATCCAATGTCACTTTTCGAGATTTCATACGGTACGTCGGGGAACACCCCGACCATATGGATAAACATTGGATTCCTTTCTCGAGGCAGTGCCACCCATGTTACATAGAGTACGACGCCATTGCATACATGAACACGTTGAACACCGACGCTGATAACATTCTTCGCTTGCTGACGGATGACAGAAAGATCAGCTTTCCGCGCAGGGAGAGATCGACGTGCACCAATTGCTTGACAACGGGGAGAATGTTCGGAGAAGTACACGAAGAAGAAATGGATCCGATTCGGCAAATCTATAGGTTAGACTGGGCTATTACCACTGGGCAGACTGAAGTAGAGAAATCACGTGAGATTGCACCGGAAAAAAACACACTTAATTTACAATTGCTGTAAGTACTACCCATGGACTGTAAGATGGAAACATGTTACAACGGTGTCCCCTCTGATGATAGGGGCCTGTAAATAGTATACACAATTTAAGTATAAGTAATTCAATAATTTTGTAACAGCTACCCAGTAGACCTTGTGGTCAGAGTTTAAGAAAGGGTGGACCTATAAGATTAGGTAAAGACGCGTGTACATGATTAAAAGAAACAAAAGTTTTTTTTTTTATTGAAATCGAACAACGCGCGCTAGCTTTTTTTAACCAAACTAATTTTTCTTGGAAATTTCAACAATGTTCATCAAGGCATACCGTATCCAAAACGACACTGTTAAGAAAATAACCTATCTGCATGTATAAACCGGGATATGAGTACTAAATTTCTGTTGTTAACATCACAAGTAAAATTCACATACAGTGCCGCTGGAAAATTTGAGTGTCGATTTATACCGTTCACTTGGCAGGTGACACGATGGCATGGAAATCAGTGACATAAACAGGTCATATTAAACAAAATACTTATTGGCCATTTAGGAAGTCCAGATACACAAACAATCCTGTTGACACGTGTCAGTTGATTTAATATTATGTGCAATTGATTAGTTTGGATTGAAGAGCGTCATCGCAATGTTAACATTAATTTTAGACGACGCGTGTCACACAGTAGTGATTATGTAATAGTCAGGGCTTAATCACTGTGTTTACCCAGCATGAATAAAGCTAACCTGAACTGATTGTTAATTAATGTGAGATGACACGTGCCAACCAGTGAAGTTAGCCCGAGAGATTGTAATCCAGTTTTTTAAATTAATTTCTTTTGATGCGTTTAAGTATGAAGAAGGCTTTTGGTTAAGTTTGGGCTTTAGATCGTAAAGATGAACTATTCCTATCGTTTTGAATTACATATCAAACAATGATAGAGAAACAGTTCCTACTTTGTGTCCTACAGAATCAAGGAATCAGTCTTTCGGCCGGCCACCCGTCGCCTTGTCAAATAAAGAAATATTCGAAATTCGACAACGGGCCAGTTCCCCAGGCAACTTTTGCGTTCAGTTGATGGGAAGGTTGTTTACGATTGATGAACGAATACGAAAGGACAGAAATGTTACGGGTGTAGATGAGAGAGATCCTATATGCAAATATAGACTGAACTATATTAAAGATATGGCTAACAAAATGTTTATCACTGAAACAACTGACAAGTCTTTTTGGAAAAAATGCATTTCGTCTATGAACAAAACTAATAGAAATATAAGGACATACTATAAAAATAAATTTCAATCTTGTTAATAATATGTATATAGTAAAGACAGTTTGAAGCCTAATAAATATTACATGTACAAGTAGTGTTTTATTTGATCTTTAATAAATTCATAAATTCATTTATTAAACTCTATGTAAATTCAATCAATTCATAGCTACAATGTACACGAAAATTGCTGTCATCACCGAATCTTTTTGGTAAAGCGACTTTTAAAAATCACTGTTGGCAAGTTCTTATACTTAAAATCTCCGTATCAGAGTAGAGTGATCAAAGTAGAGTGAAGCCACCGCGCATTAAAGGTCAATTTACGCTTGGACGAACACTTAATTGCGACCATGCTCACCTTCGATCTTTATCTCAGCGAGCTAGGGTTAGGCTCTTTTGTTAACAGAAAGTTTGTCACTATAATTGCCCGACGGGCAGGGTATGGAACTATTGTTAACAGAAACCAAACAGCGTATGGATGACAATGTTACTTCCATAGTTACCGAGCCAGGCCGTCCGTACAACCCGCAGCGACCCGGAGGGTAAGTAAGGGGAGATTCCGGCGGCACAGTAGACCTGTATAAGTACTCTAAACACCCAAAATACATTGGCGTTATCTTATCCGAGACTGGGAAAATTAATACCTGTGAACCCGTTGATGAGTTCTCAATTTCTTTACCCGAGGCACACGCAAGCAGGTGTATAAGTTGTAGATTGAGTTTTATTTTTCTTCTTATAATTCTATTTTTTTTTTAATTTGCACGTGTGTGTATGTGCGTTGTGCGCACACGATGCTACCAAGCCACGAATAAGGTAATGGTGCACACGTACAGTGTACGTGTTGATCATTCACGTTGAAAAATCAATGGTTTTGAAATAGCATTATTCATGTGTAAACAGACATTACTTGCGTACTGGCGGCGTAAGAAATGCGTACTAGCGTGCGTATTTGAGAGTGGGTGTGCAAGTCGCATTGTGTTTTTCAAAGATTTAAAAACTTTAGCTTATATCAAAATTTGTTAGGCTTAATTTTCACTGCATCATTTAGAAGTGATGCAAAAATACTGTATACACGAGGAATTTATATTAAGTTTNGTGCGTTGTGCGCACACGATGCTACCAAGCCACGAATAAGGTAATGGTGCACACGTACAGTGTACGTGTTGATCATTCACGTTGAAAAATCAATGGTTTTGAAATAGCATTATTCATGTGTAAACAGACATTACTTGCGTACTGGCGGCGTAAGAAATGCGCACTAGCGTGCGTATTTGAGAGTGGGTGTGCAAGTCGCATTGTGTTTTTCAAAGATTTAAAAACTTTAGCTTATATCAAAATTTGTTAGGCTTTTCACTGCATCATTTAGAAGTGACGTAAAAATACGACATACACCAGGAATTTATATTAAGTTCAAGAGATAACAAAATGCTATGGCAAACCGGTGTCATTAATAAAAAATAAAACAATAAAAAATAACAAAGAGAGTAATTTTTAACGTTTTATTTCAGTAGCCTGCAGCGTGCGTCCTTTCTTATAACTTGCTTGAGGACTTGAAATATACACTTGTTCGGTAACCTTGCATGTGTTAGCATACGACATACTTTGCACTTATGTTTTATTGAGGGACTGGTTTTGTGCATAAAATATTCACCACCGTTGGCCGTACTCATACATGTGTAGCTATATGCTCTTCTTTTCTTTCGGAGTTGTATTCCCAATTTGCAGATCATTGTAACACTGTCCTTATACAGGCGGCAACATTGTGTAGTATTTAGTTAGTGTTAACTGTAATGTAGCCTACTTCCAAACTAAATGCGCCATTTAAAAACAGCTGCTAGGTACAAGGGCATTTGAGCTATATTTGTACGGTTTCATGGATATTTTAACTGTCGAGATTTTTCACTCTTGAAAGTACTCGAAACCATTTGCATTAGTTATGAAGTTTGCTTATTTAGTATGTAAAAATACGTGTACTTAACAAATATTAAAACATGAGAAAACGCAATTTCGTTGTGTCACTTAAATGTTGCCATTGTCATAATGCAGTGACGGGAAACACTTTGAGAGACGTACTCCATTGTTCAAATTGATGGCGATGGACTGCAGGCTTTCAAAACACTACCAGTCATACAGAATCTTCAGCAGTATTTTCTTCACAATTTTTTCTGAAATAAAACGAGCACGTTAAAAATAACAGACATGTTACAAGATGAAAAGGGTATCATTTGTTACTTGATTAATACTGCTCAACAAATAAGAAATTTGTTTCCGCTTCAGAGATAAGGTGTGCTGCGATTTCCGGTGCCAAGTTGTACGTTTACTAGCTATAAATGAGTGACAAAGAGACAGAAAATCTGAAACAAAAATTGAATTTAACTCGCCCCTGTGTACACTGTAATTACTTTGACCGGAAAACAAATGACTGAAAGTTTTTAAAATTTTAAATGTACGTTGATGTCCAGAAAAATGCTCGACTGGAACGACCATAGACTTTGAGATAAAAAAGACAGCACTACCGATTCCTCCGTCGATAACCAGTCGAGGATAGAAAGGCCGACCAAAGTCAGCGAAATAAATTTCACCCTCAGATACAACCACCCTCCATACCTAGCTGATCAGTGCTGTAGGTCGGCCTAGGCTCGGTTGTAGTCGGCTCGGTAGTCGACTCAGTTGTCGATTCGGTGGTCGACGCCGAAATCGTCCCGGCACTTGAATAGGTAGAGGTAGGTACGGGGGTAGTGGTTGTAGCCTGTTTCCAGGGCCTTTTGGTCCAGGGGTACCGATGACTGGACCTCCACGGGTGATAGGTTATACGGGGACAGTCTTTCTTTTTGTAAAATGCCCAGTGGGAAGAAGCATAGGTGGCGCCACAGGCTTCGAATGGTTTTCTGCAAAGAAATGACCAAAACTGCATAAGAAGATTTTTTAACTTCTGATATGTTTTTTTTTTATTTTAGTATGGACGCGTTTAATTAGAATTATCTTTCTCTATCGTCATTTTTAAAATCAACACTGAAAAAAGAATAGAATCATATAAGAAGAATTCTAAGCATCAAAGCTCTAAGTACTCGTACATTTTACGTTTACAAGACTGAAAGACGTTGTTTCTGAAAAAAAAAAAAACGACACGAGTCTTAACCGCCCCTAAAATACAATGACAAATTCTAAAGGCAATCGAGTTTCCGCACCTGTTGCACATATGTAATTGTTAACACAGACGTGTATTATTTCAGCAAAGTCGATCTGGAGAAAATGCAAATAGATGGGCGCGTCCCCAATGAAATTATCGATCTACGAAGGTCGATCTTATTCTGCGGGGACGGGGACTCCCGATGAATGCAATCCGATTAAATGAATGACATGTGTCCTTGAGCAGCTAGGGGTGACTTACTTTCGTGTGTGTTTAATCACACTCAAAACGAAGTGAAAACCTTCCAGAAGTCGAGCGCACACAAAATTTGATCAGCTCCGTAGTTGCTCGAAAGGGGCGAGCCATTCAATTATTCTGATTGCATATAGCGAGATTCCGCGCGGAGTTGGATCGATCTACGTAGACCGATAGTTGGGTACGCGTCACTATATATTTCACACACTCACGCGTAGAACCAGCATTCCCCGGTGCTAAGGTCATAACCAGCGGCCAGACACTCGGTCACGTTGTGGCAATTTCTCAGGCAAGAATCCAGGCACGTCTTGGCGACTTTTACACCTCCATACGAACGAGAACCGACAGAGGCAGACTCAAAGGAATTCGGAATTGTATCTGAAAAATTTTGTTAAGAAAAAAAATGAAAGTGTGATAAAGCACAAGAGTTTAAAAGCAGCAATTTTATAACCCCTTTTAAAATTTATACCGGTAAAACGTCAATGGTTTTTCGTTGAAATAATACGTAAAATAATAAATAAAAGTACTGTGTTACCAATGTGAAATTATATGTATTCTAAACGCCAAAGGAGCCATTTATGTGACTGGCTTGTAAACGGATATCTAAATGCTTAAAACATGTTTAAATTACTTTTGACTTTAGATGTTACTATTGTGTATTTTGTTACCTACCGTTGCAAGCAAGTCTCTTAAAATGAAAGCTGCCAGGCTTGGTGACGAGGGGTTGGCACGCTCTCTCAGCACAGTGCATATAGCAAGAACGGTCGTATGTGAAATAATCGGCGGCCGCACAGCTTGCCAAAGACTCACAGAGTTTCTTACACTCCTCCTTAGATCCATTTCGTCTGAGCAGTTTTCCACCAGGGATGTAGCCCTCGTGTTCCTTGGTGCATTGTGGGAGTTCCGGTTCTTTTGGGATAACTGAATTAATTGTAATAATCATAATTTTGCAAGTGATACAAAAAAATATTGAAGAATATAAATTTAACTTAATAAAACGGCTTAAGTTATTGTGAGGAGTTGATGACAACACCAACGATAATTTTTGAGTCCCGTACTAGTATCATATTGTATCGATCCCCTGCATTCACATGTAACCTAATGTGAGTTTCAGATTTCTCCATCTCTTTTTCTTGTAAAACTGAACAGGGTGAGTAGGAATCATGACACCTATTGTGGTATATATTGTTTAGAAAGGTGACAGTTGTACTTAAGGAATAATTATTGATGTGAAAATTTATGCTAATTAAACAAAATCTCCAGAAATCACGAGAGAGTTCGCAAGAGTGACAAAAAAAAAAAAAAAAAAATGAAAGTGTTTTAATTGGGGTTTATCAGCCAAACTTATTTTGTAAATTAACTGAAACTGGACTCCATCCCCTCATATAAAAAAGGCAACTTACCCTTGCATCTGTAATGAGCGCGGAGATAGTAGGTGTCTGTGTCGGTCAGTCTACAACGGTCACTGAAATCGTCACCCGAGAGTTGGTCTCTCTGGGCTACAATGGTGCACTCCTGACCTCCGTCATTGCAGTACTTCTCATTCAGGGCCTCCTCGACTCCTGTCGCCTCACACAGATCGTCCTGCGTCGTCCCAACTGGGACGCAGGTCTCAGGATTGTCCCGGCCGAAGAACGCTTTCTCTATCTTTACAAAATGCCTGTTATAATATAATAATAATAATAATAATTTGTTGAGCATTGGACGGGACATAGTCCCATCCATGTGCACTTGCTTTGAAATCTACCAAAGACAAAATCATTCTAAATGATACACATAATCAAACAATAATACAACATGTATGAAGTGATACATATATCACACAGGAGATAAAAGCCATCAGTGCTTCGAATTGAGGTCCTAGCGGGACAGCATCACTATTTGAAATTGTATGGGTTTAGCTGTGCTTTATTTTACAATATATGGGAAAACCTTAATTCTACAGTAATAATAGCAGAGAATACTACTTGTAGAATTAATGGTGTTAATATGAGAGTTGTACTTAATCACGTACCCCTCTGGACATCTCAACGTCTCCTGATGGTCCTCACATATAGTCATTGTATGCAAGTGTGAGGGATCTGGAAATAATAGCAACAGAAACCATTGTGACGTCACTCAATGATTGATGTTGGCGTGATTCGACGAGAAGTTCCGAGATTATGAAACTGCGATGTCAAATGGCCTCGAAAATTATGGTCAGCAAAAGGGGGGTTCTTTTTCTGAAAAAGTGGACCTTTTACCATGAAACCTTCATGTGCCTAGATAAAATTTTACCCAGAGGGGACCTTTTACCGGTAAAAAGGGGGTTCTTTTGAACCCCCCGAACCCCCCGTGGCTACAGGCCTGACAGAGCACAGTTAAAGGGAAATTGCTTTTCAAACATAGAATTCGGAGTTATCAATAGCGACAGAATAAAGAAATAACAAACCAAGCGTAAAATAAAAGGAATGAAAAGCAGCAACGAAAATGTTAACTAGAACAAACGCTGTGTGATCTAAAAACGTATTTAAGAGATGCAGTAAACACCGGTATATTATCTCTACAATAGCTCTACTGACAAGAACACTAGGACATCTTTTCAAATAAGTTTAAATGTTAGGCATTATTTGTGATACAACCTTTGCTTTTGTTCTTCAGATTAGTGCAACGACTTTATTCTTCGCCGTGCGACAGATAATGGTTTTGGCCATTGGTTACCCCTTAATTGTCTTATTTGGATTATCTGAATTGAAATGTATGACACTGTTGTTATTATTATTTAATCTGGTCACATGTTTCTACCATTGGTTCCAAACACTAACCTTTGTCGTCGCCGTCTTTCTTTGGATAAGTGTTTGGTGTTGTTGTCGGTAATGTAGTGTCAGTACTGGCAGGTGCTTCAGGAAAGGCGGCGCTGGGGTTCGGATCATTGGAAAGTTGACTCTTCACTGCCCCTACAAATGAAATAGTTTCTTTTTTAAATTAATCAATATTTATTCCAGGATCATACTTACACATGTAAAGGTGGAAATGCGCTACCCTAACATGATATGCTCGCCTTTTAAAATCATATAATAAACAATACTTTTAACTATAAGATATGAATAATAATACTGGCGTAATGAAAACATTTCCTTACGGATTTGAATAAAACTTAAATAAACAATAATAGATCTATTCTTTTTTATCAAAAATTGAAAAAAAAAAACATTTATGTTTAAGATGCTCTAAAATGAAAGTAAGTGGTACATAAACACTGTACTTGGCTAACGAATGAATTAAAGGGATAATAACTCTTCGTATGAGATCTATATTTCACAATAAAAACACTGTGAACAACTCATAGAAATATAATATATTCTGTTTTCCAACAAAAACGGCAGTATAGCTATTTTCTGACATCTGAGCTTGTCATCAGATAACGTGACCTCCAAAGATGACTAACTCTGTAATAAACTCTTAAAGGGATAACAACCGTTCTTAAGATATCCATATTTCACATTAAATACATTGTAAATAACTCATAGAAATAAATAAATACAATAAATTCTATTTTTCCCCAAAAACGGCGGTTAGCACAAATATTTTGGAATTTGTGCTTGCCATCACATCACGAGACCTCCACAGATGTCTACACTCTGTAATAATATCTTAAGAGATTATCACAAAAAAAAAAACTTTTTAGAAAAAAAAAACAGGGACTAATTTTGAATGTGGGAATGGATTCGTTTACCATTGGTAAGTATAAGAAAATTGTCCTTTATACCAGGAAAACATTTTTTGGACAAAATGAACAGTTACTATCCCTTTAAGAGATTATTACAAAAAAATAAAAAAAATAAATAAAAAAAAGGGACTAACTTTGAATGCAGAAATGGATTAGTTAACTATTGGTAAGTATGGGAAAATTGATGTTTAATCAGGAAAATCATTTTGGCCAAAACGAACAGTTATTATCCCTTTAAATGTTCGTTTCTGTCAAAAACCATTGAAGATTGGATTTAACTGTAAACTGACGAAAAAAGGAAATTATTTTGTTTTATAAAAACCTAACTCTAGGCGAAAATAAATAGTTCCAGTATAATATACCAGAACAGAGTTGGATAAATGCCATGGCACTGAGAATTCCCTGAATGAATTATTGATAAGTTTTCATAAAATAACCTTCTAACTAAACCTTGTGTATACATGTACGAACATGTTAATTTGAGTGAGACTAATAATGATAGGTTTTCCATGACCTGGCCCCAGTTTCACAAAAAAAAAAAAAAAAAAAAGTCAGTTCCCTGGCTTAGTTGACTTGGATTTCCGTGAGAGTGCTTTAACACTGTTCCTGATAGGGTGAGATTTACGCACGTGGCCATGTAACTTTGGTAATTAAGTTCTTACGCAGTGAACCCAAGTTATTTATTTATTTATTTATTTATTTATTTATTTATTTATTTATTTATTTGTTTGTTTGTTTTTGTGAAACAGGGGCCCGTGCTTGAAAAAATGGGGGGGGGGGGCACTATTCGATAACTCACTTCCTTCACAAATCCTCAAATGCAATTACTGTAATAACACCATACTGTATATATACCGTACTGGTATAACACCAACTATAATTATAGTATGATTTTTATATATTATACCCTAATTTGAATAAACTGAGCTTTTGTCCTACCCTTTTCTCCATAGGCTACCACATAGATGACACAAAGACTCATTCACATGCCAAGTACAAACCGTATACACGGCATGCCATGTTCAACTAGCTTAATATTTGAGATTGCTTCGTTTTTTCCTGTCGTGTTGTGATAAAACCGACGCGGAGCTATGCCCTCTTTTTTGGAGGGGCATAAAAGATCACTAGGTTTTTAGGTTGTTAAATTCTTCTGTTAACCAAGATGGATAGTTCCTCTGTACAGTCATCGTTAAGATGTCCCTTTTAATGAGATGATTATATGAATTGAATATCTCTTGTAAGTGTTTCACATAAAACGTGTTGGTGAGAATCGTCTTTCCCTAATGGTGGTAGGCGAATCATGTGACGGGTGTTGAAAGAAAATCACATAAAAACCATAAACAATTCTACAAAGTGGTCGTTATTGTCACAGTGGTCGTAAATTGATTCTGCGTAGGAATTACGCATCTCATTACGAACGGATTCATCTGAAAATAATTACCGGTGGCCAGAGGCTGTTGTTTTTAATGAGCTCGGGCAGGATTCTAAATCGACGATCTGTGGGAAACTTTAAACCTTCTGAAATCCCGTACAAGCTGCCACAACTTTGAGTGGTTTGCTTTATCGGGATAAATCTACATTTTCGATGATTATACGCCGCTTGTGAAGATTACCCCTCTTCCGTTTTCCCCCAGACTTGTTAAGAATGAATTACACACTGGCGGATCAAAAAAAGCAAGGGGAAGGTTGGGGGGGGGGAGGGGGGGGGGGGAGAGGTCCAACGCCGTTATTGCCCAAAACCATATGGGCATAATTGTAAATTGTAAAACCACTTAGATCTGCCTATTAATGGTAGGTTACATCAAAATATCAAAGACAGAACTTAAGTTTTGATGAAAATAGTCGTGGGGAACTTGCCGCATTTCTTCTTGCGAGAGGAAAACGCGACGTCTTACAGGCACATGTACCACTGCATGTGCTCACTAAAAGCTTCCGCGCAACAATATACATTTACTGCATTAAAAATGGTTGTCTTTCTTGCCAACATTACCACATGTGGTTTCGTTAACATGAAAACGCAAATAATAACCATATACACACATTGGACAATAGAAGTGTCACCCCCTGAATCAGAGTTATCAAAGTTATAATGCCTGGTCTACTTATAATGTGACTAATGAGAATAAAACCGCTGTACCATGGAATTGTATTGTTGGTCTTTTTGTGAAATTTGATGTTAATAAAATGATACCAGGAGCATATCATTCCACAGTCATTTATCTCCCCCAAAGTATTGGTTCAGTAGGGGTGATACTTCTATTGTCCAGTGTGTGTAGTTTCCGTTTTAACTACACTTTTGCTCCTTAATAACATCATTTTTGGCATTTGTTAAAAGATAATCCCTTCGTGGCTGCAAGTTATTTTGGTCGAGGAAAAGTGGTAGGCGCACTTTAGTTTATAATCAAAATTCCTAAATAAAGACATAGGCCACGTAATTGCAATGCATTAAACGGTCACGTTTAATTCAGAGCTTCTATCCACCATAATGACAAAGAAAATTGTCTTAGCAGCCAGTCCCTTATGACCAAGAAAAAGGCATTATGAGGATCAAAGCTCAAATCTACATTGTAGAGTAAGGCCAATACACTCCAATATTGTATGAATTTTTCTGCCCTCAAAAAATAAGACATATACATGTAGACAGATTGACAGACAGACAGACAAACAAACGAGCACAAAAGAAACCATTAGAACCTTGGAGCGGGACCATGTAATGCTTAAAAAATGCAATGATTATTTAATGTATAACCCTTGCCACCTACCTAACGTCACAAGGAAAAGCAACAATCCAACCGTCCATTGGAAAAACATTCTGTACACCGATCGCAGGCGCCTAAGGAGTCTGTTTTGCTTCAAACACAAATGCTAACAATGTTGTTGTCCTGGATATGAATACCTGACAACTCGACAACAAGTGCTTATATATACCTTCGATGTAAAAAGTTGCGTGTCATATATTGCGGGGTACGTTCCTTTCAAATGAATCTTAATGGTTTTTCGTGAGTCATTAAATGTTTCAAGTTTATTGTCCCACGTTCTCCTAAACGATTGTCGTCCCAAGTTACAAGTTATACAGGCGACACTGGGGCTATGTGTTGTGGGAGCATCAAAGCACGACGCTAAAGGGGGTGATTATATATGAAAAGGGGCGAAAGTAAGAGAGGTTACTGTCTCTTGCTTCTTTCTGAGAAACAAATCGGTTACTGCCTGTTACGTCTTTCCGAGAAACAAATCGGCGATTGTGTTCTGCATTGTTCCTTTTTTTTCAAATTTCATTTTTTTTAATAATTATTATTATTATTATTATTTATTATTATTATTATTATTATTTTTTTTTTTTGGCAAAGTATGAAATTTGGTGGTTTGGCTACCCACAATACATGGTTACTTGCGACCTGATAAAACAAATCTTTGCATCACATCGGAAACTGATCAATTTTTTTCTAATAGCCTTGTATTAATAAAGCTATAATGACCACTTTTAATTTGCTTGTTTAAGTTCAACATTGTCCGAGTGGGGGAACTTTTACTGCATGATATCTGAAACACAGACCCTTAAGCTTTTACTTAATAGAACGCAAGGCCTTGCTCATGGTCTAAGACCCAATTCCCATACCTAGATTTATCCAGCAGGATCTACCTACATTGTTTCTCCAAGGTAAGGTAAACGGTAGTTAATTACCCCTATAATAGTTTCAGTAGGCATGCCAGACATTAGAGCCGCTTAAGTTGAATGCAATTTAGTGAGAAACCCCTGTGAGATGGATCGATCCTGCTAGATCGATCTAGGTATGGGAACGGGGTCTTAATTAAGCTGACTCTCCCAATACTTCAGCGACGGGACAGTGTCACATATGAAGTCAAATTAGCGTTGTTATGTGATCTGCCCAAGTTGCTCAATATGGAAATAAGCCTAACGTGTATGTGACTCAGCGGCTGGTCACGATGGAGCTATATTAGGAACAATCGCACTGATCAACCGCATGCCTGCAAGCCGTGTGATACAGCCAAATTCACCGGAACATTTGTTAGGTACGAAGTGATTAAGCGTTAAATATTTCCTTGGCTTTACACGGAGTGTTTCTACCGATTTAACCCCCCCCCC